CAGCCCTTTTTTTGTATTTTATTTAGAGACAGGGTCTCACTGAGTTGCTTAGCACCTTGCTAAGTTTCTGAAGCTGGCTTTGAACTCTCAATTCTCTTGCCTCAGCCCCCCAGGCTCCAGGGATTACAGGTGTGGGCCACTGTAACCAGTTCATTTCTCTTTATGGCTGAATAAAACTCCATTGGGTAGTTGGGTATGGTGGTCAGTTAAGAGGCTGAGGCAAGAGGATTGCAAGTTCGAGAACAAACGTGGCAACTTAGCAAGACCCTTGGCAACTTAGCAAGATCCTGTCTCAAAATAAAGAGGACTGGGGATATAGCTTAGTGGTAAAACATCCCTGGGTTCAATCTCAATACCAAAACAAACAAAACAAACTCCCTTGAATATATATATCCTATGATCATGTAGACTGATTCAAAAATTTGACTATTGTCAAACATGGGTATGCATATAATTCTATAGTATATAGTCTTTAATTTTTTGGTGGGGGCGGGTACCAGGGATGAGCTCGGGAACACTTAACCACTGAGCCACCAGGCCCCAGCCCTATTTTGTATTTTATTTAGGGGCAGGGTCTCACTGAGTTGCTTAGCACCTCACTTTTGCTGGGGCTGGCTTTTTTAAAAAAATATTTATTTTTAAGTTTTAGGTGGACACGATATCTTTATTTTACATTTATGTGGTGCTAAGGATCGAACCCAGTGCCTTGTGCATGCTAGGTGAGCACTCTACCACTGAGCCACACCCCAGTCCCTTAGGCTGCCTTTGAACTCATGATCCTCCTACTTCAGCCTCCCAAGCCACTGGAATTATAGGCGTACACCACTGTGCCCCACTACTATCTTTAATTCTTTAGGATAAAAAATGAAGAGTGGTATGAGTCATGTGGTGGTTCTGTTCCTAGTCTTTTGAGGAACCTTTGTACTGATTTCCATAGTGGTTATAGCAGTTTACAATCGATCGCACCAACAGTATAAGTGTTTCTTTTCTCCACATACTCTAAAGCATTTATTATTATTTGTATTTCTGATGGCTGCCATTCTAACTGGAGCAAGATGAAACCTCCCTTCCCCTCCCCCCCCTTTGCCCTATCTAGAGTTCATTTAGTCCTCCCATGCTCTGCTCCCCCCCGCCCCCCACCAACCACATTGTGAATCAGCATCCTTAAATCAGAGAAAACATTTGGCATTTGGTTTTTGGGGATTGGCTAACTTCACTTAGCATTATCTTCTCCAACTCCATCCATTTACATGCAAATGCCATGATTTTATTCTCTTTTAATGCTGAATAATATTCCATTGCGCATATTTACCACATTTTTTTTTTATCCATTCATCTACTGAAGGGCATCCAGAGTTTAGCTCTTGTGAATTGTGCTGCTATAAACATTGATGTGGTTGTGTCCCTGTAGTATGCTGATTTTAAGTCCTTGAGGAGAGGGATAGCTGGGTCAAATGGTGGTTCCATTCCCAGTTTTCCAAGGATTCTCCATACTGCTTTCCATATTGGCTGCACCAATTTGCAGTCCCATCAGCAATATATGAGTATGCCTTTTTCCCCACATCCTCACCAACACTTATTGTTTGTATTCTTAATAGCTGCCATTCTGACTGGAGTGAGATAAAATCTTAAGAGTAGTTTTTGATTTGCATTTCTATAATTGCTAGAGATGTTGAACATTTTTTTCATATATTTGTTGATTGATTGTATATCTTCTGAGAAGTGTCTGTTCAGTACCTTGGCCCATTTATTGTTTTTTTTTTTTTTTTGGTGTGGTGTTAAGTTTTTTGAGTTCTTATAATATACTAGAGATCAGTGTGTGAAGATGTGTGAAGAGTAAAAATTTGTTCCCAAATTGTAGGCTCTCAGTTCACCTCACTGATTGTTTCTTTTGCTGAGAAGAAGCTTTTTAGTTTGAATTCCTATTTATTGATTCTTGATTTTAATTCTTGCACTATAGGAGTCTTATTAAGGAAGTTGGGGCCTAATCTGACATGATTGAGATTTGGGCCTACTTTTTCTTCTAATAGGCGCAGCATCTCTGGTTTAATTCCTAGGTCCTTTATCCACTTTGAGTTTTGTGCATGGTGAGAGAGAGGGGTTTAATTTCATTTTGTTGCATATGGATTTCCAGTTTTCCCAGCACCATTTGTTGAAGAGGCTATCTTTTCTCCAAAGTACATTTTTGGTGCCTTTCTCTAATATAAGATAACTGTAATTATGTGGGTTAGTCTCTGTGTCCTCTATTCTGTATTGTTGGTTTGTTTTGGTGCCAATACCGTGCTGTTTTTGTTATATTGCTCTGTAGTATAGTTTAAGGTCTGGTATAGTGATGCCACCTGCTTTACTCTTCTTGCTAAGGATTACTTTAGGTATTCTGGGTCTCTTAATTTTCCAGATGAATTTCATGACTGCTTTTTCTATTTCTGTGAGGAATGTCATTGGAATTTTGATTGGAATTTCCTTAAATCTGTATAGGGCTTTTGGTAGTATCTCAATATAGTTTTGATTTGCATTTTCCTAATTGATAAAGATGTTGAACATTTTTTCATATATTTGTTGGCCATTTGTATTTCTTCTTTTGAGAAGTCTGTTTAGTTCATTTCTCCATTTATTGAGTGGGTAATTTTTTTTTTTTGGTGGTAAGTTTTGTGAGTTCTCTATATATTCTGGATATTAATCCTCTGTCAGAAGAGTAGCTAGCAAAATTTTTTTCCCATTCTGTAGATTCTCTCCTTATATTCTTAATTCGTTTCCTTTGCTATGAAGAAGTTTTATAAATTTGATAGTATCTACTTATTAGTACCTTTTTAAAAAGTATTTATTTATTTATTTACTTTTAGGTGGTCACAATATCTTCATTTTATTTTTATATGGTGCTGAGGATCGAACCTAGTGCCTCATGCATTCTAGGTGAATGCTCTACCTCTGAGCCACAACCACAGCTCATCTACTTATTAATTCTTGATATTATTTCCTAAGCTTTAGGGTCTTATTGAGGAAATTGTTGCCTGTACCTCTATCCTGGAGTGTTGATCCTACATTTTCTTCCAGGGGTTAGTTTCTGGCCTAATTCCTAGGTCTTTGATCCATTTTTGAGTTGACTTTGTGCAGGCTGAGACATAAGGATCCAGTCTCGTTCTTCTACATATGGATAACCATTTTCCCAGCACATCTACAAAGACTGTCTCTTCTCTAGCACATATTTCTGTCACCTTTGTCAAGGACCAGATGACTGTATCTGTGTGGATGTGTCTGTTTTTAATGCCAGTACCATGCAGTTTTTGTTATTGTAGCTCTGTAGTATAATTTGAAGTTGGATATTATGATGCCTCCGCATTGCTTTTTTTTTATTTATTTATTTATATGTGGTGCTGAGAATTGAACCCAAGACCTCACAAGTTCGAGGCAAGTGCTCTACCACTGAGCCACAACCCCAGCCCCCCCTCCGCATTGCTTTTTTGCTTAGAATTGCTTTGACTATTCCATGTCTTTTATGTTTTCAAATGAATTTTAGGACTGTTTTTTCCTAGTTCTGTGAAGAACATCATTGATATTTCGATTGGGATTATACTGAATCTGTATATTGCTTTCGGTAATATGGCCATTTTAGCAATGTTAATTCTGACTCCCCACAAACATGAGAGGTGTTTCTGACTTCTTCTGTCCTCTTCAATTTCTTTCTTCAGTGTTCTATAATTTTTATTGTAGTCTTTCAACTCCTTGGTTAGATTTATCCTATGTTTTTTTTTTTTTCTGTCTTCTCCTCCTCCTTCTTCTTTGAGGCTATTGTTAATGGAATTGTTTTCATGATTTCTTTCTTAGTGAATTCCTTGTTGGTGTGTAGGAAAACTATTGGGTTTTGTGTGTTGATTTTATATCCTGTCATATGATAAGTTTTTCTTAAGTGAGGGACTGGTGGTCTGTTTTCCAGATTAGCTGTACCATTTGACGTTTTCACTGACAATGTTTGAGAGTTCTGATTTTTTTCTTATTATTTTCAGTACTTATTACCTATTTTTTGAGAGTCATCCTGGTAGTGTGAAATGATATTTCATTGTGGTTTTGATTTGTATTTTTCTAATAGCTAATGACATGGGACTTTGTTCCATGTACTTATTGGCCATTTCTCTGTCTCCTTTCAAATGTTTATTTGTATCTTTAATCTGATTTTAAATTTGGCTATTTGCCTTTTTATTTTTGAGTTGTAAGAGTTCTTTTTTTAATATTCTAGATATATACTTTTATCAGATAAATGATTTGCAAGTTTTTCTTCCATTGCTTGGGTTGTCTTTATGGTCAATTCAGTTTTTTTAAAAAAAATTTTAATTGTAGATGGACACAATATCTTTATTTTATTTATTTATATTTATGTGGTGCTAAGGATCGAACCCAGGGCCTCACATGAGGAAGGCGCTCTACCACTGAGCTACAACCCCAGCCCTCAATTTTTTAAAAAAAGGTTTCAAAAATTAAGTTTGCACCTAGCTTATATGTTATTTTGAGTATACCTATATAACAATATGGCTTGGATGTTTCATGTTTTCCGAAGATCCATGTGTTAAAAGCTTAGTTCTAGGGTGGTGCTTTTGGAAAATGGTTGACCCTTTTGGAGACAGGGCCTAATGGGAGTCCTTAGACCATTGGGCCAATGTCTTTAGACCATTGTAGTATATGCCTGAGTATATGTACATGTAAAGTGCCTGTACATGTTGAGTTCCTCCAGCATTGTATATATGTGTGTGTGGTTATTGCTTATATATTTGCTGTTATGAATGAAATTTTTTTTTCACGTTTTTATACTGGGTTCAGTAAACTTTTGCTTTCATATCCATCAAAATTTCTAAGTTATTTTTGAAGTTTTAAAAGTTGGTTGATGGCTTATTATTTTTCCAGATAATTCTGAATGCTGATGTAACCATTTTGTTTAGGAGCTGTTGTTCTTATTCATTCTGATTTCTTCTGCCCTGATTCATATGGTCTTCTTCTCTTGGCTCTAGGATTGTCTTTTCATTGTTCTCCATGCTCCGGTTTTTGCCTCTCTATCTAGCACCCACACTGCCACCATGTGTTGACATATTAGCTTGATCCAGCCACTGTCTTCGTAAGTCTTTTATTTTTATTGGCTTTCCATTACCTAAAAAGCTTCATCCTGTAGGGTTATGTAAGATCCCGTATACTGGCCATGGTGGTGCATGCCTGAAATCCCAGTGTCTTGGGGAGACTGAGACTGAGGATCACAACTTCAAGGCTGGCCTTGGCAACTAAGTGAGACCCTGTCTTAAAATAAAAAATAAGGGCTGGGAGTGACGCTCACTGGTAAGGAACTCCTGAGATTCAATTCCCAATGCTTGGGAGAAAAAAATCAACATAGAAATTATCAATAGGATATTTTTACATTTATTGTAGTATTTAAAATTTAATGAGTATTTTATGCTTAGTCTACAACTTAAATTTTCTACACTTTTACCTATAACCATGATGCTTCTGGCTTTGATTTTTCTTGCACATTTTGTTCCCTGCCTGGAGGGACATCTCTTATTTGTGCACCTAGAGGACTCTTACCCATTTAAAAAAATATATTTTTAGTTGTAGATGGACACAATATTTTTATTTTGTTTTTATATGGTGCTGAGGATTGAACCTAGTGCCTCACAAGTGTGAGGCAAGTGCTCCCCCACTGAGCTACAATCCCAGCCCCTCTTGCCCACTTTTTAACACTAATCTCAGGTATCATCTCTCTAGTAAGTGTCCCTTAAAAACAACTGCCCTTCTTTGTTGTTCTTGCCTGTGCTTTATATGCTTCAGTTGTTAGTGTTATCTCACCAACTGCAACTTGTTCAGTACATGTATTTCTCTTTTGTGAAATCCTAAATATTTTGAAGACAGACTGTGCCTTTTAACCCTCTTTATCCTCTCTAGTACCAAGTTTGCCTTATTAAGGTGCTGTATACATGTTTACTGAATGAGTCCTTTGGATAGAAAAGACAAAACAAAAACTAACAAAACCTCTCTATATAGAAATGAACAGCATTAAAACATGTTAGAAGATGGTATTTTCTTTGAAAACAAAGTTTCACATTTGTGTATAAGATCATCTTTTGAGAGGGAAGGCATAGTGAAGCTGCAAACTGGTGTCAGCAGATGAAATGTTTGGCTGAAACAACATTTGTAAAGAAGAAACAAAGTATTGAATTTAAGTGCAAAGTAGAAACTAGAAATACATAAAATGTGGATTGATTCTGTATTACTCAATTTTAATTTCCCATAAACTTTATAGGTGACCTAACAATATGTTGCTGTTACTAAAAAATGTGTTATTTCATATCTTATTAATAAAATATAGGGCCCAGATAATGGGAAGTAGTAGTATCATTGTTATCTGCCTCATTTAGACCATTTCTCAAGTGTTGAGTACAGACTCGGGTGCCACATTGGAGGAGGTATGTTGACAAACCCAGAGGCTCTTGCCTTCAAGTTTATAAGTTAGGAAGAACTTAAAGGCAGCCTTAAGAACTGTCTTCACTATTTGATAGGCTCTTAGGAGGGAGCAAACTCTTGTCATTTCAGAGACCAGCTGAGTATCAAAGAATAATTTCTGTGTAGGTGGCTTTTACAGATGCAATGACTTTTTTTTTTAACTTTCCTTTTTCATACCTTTATTTTATTTACTTATACGTGGTGCTGAGGATTGCAGTGACTTTTTAACGAAAACTGCCTCTTCAGATGGTGAACTCTTATTGAAAGTATTCAGCAGAGATAGGTCATGGTCTTGCCCTTCCAAATAACTATGGAAAGAAATTTTTAATTGGATGGAAACTGTACTTGACTCCTAAGTTTTAGTCAAAGATTCTTTCTTTTCCTTTAATAGGAGTTCTGTGGTTTCTAGAACTGCAGTAATATTAGTAGCTAACATTTATTGAACTCTAATGAACTAGCCAATATGCTTAGTAAATTATAGTGATAATCTTAAGCCTCACAATAATCCTACATAATAGATGCTATCTTTCCTACTTCACAAATGAGGAAACTGAGATATAGAAAAAATTCAGTAAATTGCACAAGTTCATATAGTTAGCAAATGGCAGAGGTTGGATTTGAACCCAGGCTCTTTGACTCTGGGACCCATGTTGTTATCATCTTTCTGAATAATGTTGACATAGTCACTTAATTAAAATGTGATTTATCCCAGAAATATAGTTACATATTAAGTGGGTATATTTACATTGCCTATGTTCAAAGAACACTTAACAAAAAACTTTGTTTTTCTAAGTATGAATATATACCACTATAAAATTCTAGATACATATAGAATTTGAAAAAAAATTGTTCATAATCCTACAACTCTTATGTAACTGTTGTTAAATAGTTTGATGTTTGCTTATATATAAAATATAAATAATATAAAATTATATAAAATAATTAATTATAAAACAAAAAATATTTAAAATAAGGACTGTAGATTGCTTCAGGAGCTGGGGAGGCACTGAAAGGCATGGAACCCCCAGCAAGGTTCCAGTTTTCTCACTCCTGGCCCAGTATGGAATCATAATGCCTATTCAGAGCAATAAGGCTCAGTAATGGAAATTAACTCTTTTTTCTCTTGAATAAACAATCTTACATACACTGCTGGTGGGGCTGCAAATTGGTGCAGCCAATATGGAAAGCAGTATGGAAATTTCTTGGAAAATTGGGAATGGAACCACCATTTGACACAGCTATCCCTCTCCTTGGCGGTCTATACCCAAAGGACTTAAAATCAGCATACTACAGGGACACAACCACATCAATGTTTATAGCAGCAAAATTCACAATAACTGAACTGTGGAGCCAACCTAGATGCCCTTCAATATATGAATGGATAAAAAAATGTAGCATATATATACAATAGAATATTACTCAGCAATAAAAGAGAATAAAACCGTGGCATTTGCAGGTAAATGGATAGAGTTAGATAAGATAATGTTAAGTGAAGTTAGCCAATCCCCAAAACCCAAATGCTGAATGTTTTCTTTGATATAAGGAGGCTGATTCATAGTGGGATAGAGAGAGGGAGCATGGGCAGAGGGGTTGGAGGGGAAGGGAGGGGGCATGAGGTTAGAAATGATGGTGGAATGTGATGATGATTATTATCCAAAGAACATGTACAAAGACACAAATTGGTGTGATATACTTTGTATACAACCAGAGATATGAAAAATTGTGCTCTATATGTGTAATAAGAATTGTAATGTATTCTGCTATCATAAATAAATTTTAAAAAATAATAAAAAATCTTATAATCCAATGATTGAATTAGACATTTATCATTAACATATTAATATAATACCTCAAATTGAGTTTTATTTACTTAATGAAGATTTATTGAGTATTATCACTTCTGTTCCCAGCACTTACACGTGTGAGGCACTGGGTTTGATCCTCAGCACCACATACAAATAAATAAAATAAAGGTATTGTGTCCACCTACTGCTGAAAAAATATTTTTTAAAAAATTGCCAGTTGTTTCTGCTGTCATGGAGTGTGCACTCTGGTGAGAAAGACCACAATCAGTCCAGCAGAGGAAAAAATCAAAAATAATCTTGAGAACTATAACTCCAAACCCCTATAAGCTATAGAACTTTACCACTATTCCAGAACGTTCCCTCATGCCTGAAATGTTCTTCCTGAGATTTTGGATGATGGGCTTCCTTTTGTCCTTCAGTGCTCAGGTCTCTGCCCTGTACTCCTCTCTCCTCCAGGAGCATCTACTGCTAAACCCATAGGGTAGGTTTAGCTGTTCTAGAACTTTATATAAGCAGAGCCTTATCTATCTATCTATCTATCTATCTATCTATCTATCTATCTATCTATCTATCTATCTAGTATGTGAGCTTATGTATCGTGTATCTGGTTCCTTTCACACAGCCTGAAGGTATTTGAGATTCATCCATGTCGCATTTGTCAGTTCACACCTTTTCGTTGTTGAGTAGTATTTCCATATAGAGATGTACCACCTGGACTTTTTCTAGTTTCTGGCTATGATGAATGAAGATGCTGTGAACATTGTGATACAAGTCTGTTTGTGGATAGATTTAATTTATCCATCTTGAGACTCAGAAAACTGTTCTAAATCTGACCCCCTTCATATATTTCAAGTCTTTCTTACTTAGATACTGGAATTTCTGTCCATTCTCCATTCCTCTACTCCATTGTGGTTCTCCCTCTTTATTTCTTCACACTGCATTCTGGGTAACATCCTAAGACTTATCTTCAGTTCATGACTCTCTGTGTGTCTAATCTGGTATGTAACTTGTTCATTGAGTATTACATTTAAAAATTTAAAAAATATTTCCATACCTAGAATTTTGCTTTTAAATTTTTTCTCTTATTCATGTTTTAGCTATTATTTTCCTTATTACCTGTGAATATTCGTGCTCTAAAGTCCCTTTCAGATCCCAGATATGGAAACTTTTGTTTGATGGCTCTATGAACTCATTTTATTAGCTTTAGAGGTTTTTGTTGTTATTTGGGGGTACCAGGGATTGAACCCAGGAGCACTCAACCACCGAGCCACATCCCTAGCTCTCTTTTGTATTTTATTTAGAGTCAGGGTCTCACTGAATTGCCTGGTGCCTGGGTAAATTCCTAGGGCTGGCTTTGATCCTCCTGCTTCAGCTTTCCAAACCATTGGGATTATAGGCATGCCCCTCTGCTCCCAGCTTGTTGGTTTTGATTCATTTGTAAGCCCTTTTCCAGGGACTGGTCTTGGAATAGGTCTTCCATGGAAATCTTGCTAGAAACATATATAAGGTAGACCATACTCCTGTAATCGACTTTGTCTAGTTAACAGCAGAGTTCACCAATTGTGAATCAGTCTTAATTCATTTTCTTGGCTTTGAGTTTCCTTTTGTTAGGGGAGTGTAAACTTGAGCCCTGTCTCTGCACAGCATGGCTCCAGGCTCTTCTCTTGTGGTGCTCTGTTTATAGTCTAAGCCTGTGGGGCAGGTGGCTTGCCTACCCCATAGTGGACAAACTTTTTCAGGTCCCTGTTCTTGGACAGAGCAGCACTCTTCTGGCTCCCAATGTGTCCTAGGCCTGTGACCTCGACTTCTGCCCCCAGTGCTAGGGCTGGTCTGAGTTCTGGTCTCTACCTGGTTTCCACTTCCATTTCTGATATCTGATGATTTCTTTTTTTCTCTCTCTCTCAGCTCAATTGCATATTAATTTTTTATCTTTTCAGTTGTTTTTCCCCAGCATTTGTGTTATTTAGAGTGGGAAAGGAAAGTCTTTTTATATCTACTCAAAATTCTTTTTAAACAGATGTCTCTTTATACAAGTTATTTAATCTCATTAAGCCTGTTTCCTATTCAATAAAAGCACTAGAAAAAGTATATTCGAAGTACTTAGCACAGTTTCTAAACCAAAGTAAATGTTTTTAAAAACAGCATAGCCAGTATGTTACCATTTTTTATTCTTATTGTCATAATTTTTGTGATGCCATTTTTCCATTCCAGTAGCTGAATATCTCTATAGACATAGGTATAATCTATTGTAAATATAAAATTATTTTAGTAACGTTTGTGAAACTTTAAAAAAGTGATAAAAACAGGACACATTGGGAAACCCTGAGTCATAGAAAAGGTATGGCAGTTAGGCAGGGTGCTGTAGATTTGCTCTGTCTTTGCTCAGTTGAGGTTTGGGGCCAGAGCCCACGCATGATTGCTCAGCAACATGCTAGACTGACACAATATTTATAGAAGCTGTAAGTTTATTGCTAATATTTAAAAGTGGTAACATTCCTTGTAAAATTCAGATCCCTGAGTGATCTTGATTAGCACAGTATCTGACTACACTGGGTCTTCTTCCCACGAGGAATCCATCAGCGCGTGCTGAGTGGTTATTGCCCTGTGTTCTTTCTGCCACTGAGGCCAAGGGCCACTGACCAGTTATTATCACACTTTTACTGATTTTTTTTTTTTCATACCAGGGCTTGAACCCAGGGGCTTTTAACCACTGAGCCACATCCCAGCCCTTTTGTATTTTTTATTTTGAGGCAGAGTCTTGCTGAGTTGCTCAGGGCCTCGCTAAATTACTGAGGCAGGCCTTGAATTTAGATCCTCCTGCCTTAGCCTCCCATATGTGCCACCATGCCCAACTTGTTGTTTTTAATAGTATAGAAATAACACTGTGTACTCATTTGTTTATCAAAAATGAGGAAAACAAAAGATACATGGTAAAAGCCACATGTGCTAAGATAAAAGGGACTATTTTGTGGTATGCTTCTTTTATCTTCATTAACCTTCCTGGTCTTGTGGCATTTGTTTGAAACTTCCTTCTGGGAATCTTGGATATTTGTTTTAGTCAGGTTTTATGCCAGAAGACCTGACAAGAACAATTTTAGAGGAGGAAAAGTTTATGTGGGTCTAGTAGTTTCAGAGGTCTCAGTCCATAGCCAGCCAGCTCTGTTGCTCTGGGCCTGAGGTAAGGCAGCACATCATGGTGGAAAGGCTGGGAGGAGGAAAGCAGCTCAAGACAGGACAACCCAGAAGCTGGGAGAGACAACTTCTCTCTCACCAAAGACAAAATACATACCCCGAAGGCATGCCCCAAAGACTCACCTCCTCCAGCCACACCCTACCTGCCTAGTCCCCATCCAGTTAATCCCTGGGGGTATTAGTGCACTGATCTGGGTAAGGCTCCCACAGTCTAATCATTTCACTTCTAAACTGTTGCACTGTCTCCATGTGAGCTATTGGGGAACTCCTAATATCTAAATCATCACAATATCTAAGTGTCACCTTTTTCTTTTTTCATCCCTTGTTGTTCTTCCCCTTTCGTGCTGCCTCTGCCTTACCTTGTAGAAACTGAGGCAATTTCTTTGGAGAACTACTGATCAACAGAAACTTCTGGAGCAACAGAAAAGTATTTATTTTCAAGCCCATTTCCTTTGCCTCTACTGCCCACACCTGCCAGAAGAGTAATACAGTCACCCCACCAACTGATAGATGATTGTTTTTTTTTTTAAGAGAGTTTTTTAATATTTATTTTTTATTTTTTGGCAGACACAACATATTTGTTTGTGGTGCTGAGGATCGAACCAGGCCGCACGCATGCCAGGCGAGCACGCTACCGCTTGAGCCACATCCCCAGCCCCAAGTTTTTTTTTTTTTTTAATTGAGAAGCAAAATTTTTATTCAGCTGGTAGGAGATTAAAGGTTTAAAGTTCAAACACTTTTTTTTTCAGTATGTGTGGTACTGGGGATTAAACCCAGGATGTTCTACTACTGAGGTACATCATTAGCCCTTTTAATTTTTATTTTGGAGCAGGGTCTTGTTAAGTTGTGGAGGCTAGCCTCAAACTTGTGATCCTTGCCTTAGCCTTCCAAGTAGCTGGGATTAAGGGCTTGTGTGACCATGGCCCGCTAAACTGCAAACACATTGAGAAAGAATCATTAACTAATCAATTCATTTACTAGTAAATCAATAATCCAAGGTAAAGGTCTAGCTTATTCTGTTTTGATTAATAAGATTTTATATCATTAAGGGAACCCTGGGTATCTGTCAGAGGGCTAGGGAGTTTTTAGTGGGAAGGATGAAGATAGAGATGGAATAAAAAAGTACAAAAATGAAAAAAATTCTATTGTTTGATGTGGAAATTGATAGCAGTTGTTTTAGTTTGTGGGTGTAAGGATTGTAGGTGGAAGTTTTTAGGGGAAAACTTGTTTATACATAGGGTTTATATTCTGTATGTAAATATATTTTTGATGTTTGTTTTGCAGGTTGTATGATTAGTAAAATGCTTTCCTAAACCGTAAAAAGTTGAAGATGTCTAGACAGAATTTAGTGGCTTTGACAGTGACCACCCTTCTGGGAGTGGCTGTGGGGGGATTTGTCCTATGGAAAGGCATCCAGCGACGCAGGAGTAAGACAAGTGGTGTGACCCAGGCGCAGCAGCAGCAGCAGCAGCAGCAGCAGCAGCAGCAGCAAGAGCAAGTGACACCAAGGAGAGAGCAGCCCCCTTCAGAAGAGCACCAGCTGCCCTCTGGTGTTCCCAGAGCCTCCTGGGAGGAAAGAATTCTCCATGCAGATGTGGTGACAGTGTCTCAGGAGGCAGAGTGGGATCAGATTGAGCCCTTGCTCAGGAGCGAGTTAGAAGAATTTCCAGTACTTGGCATCGACTGTGAGTGGGTAAGTTAAAAAGCAAAAAATTAAATAAAAAACAAAACACAGACCTGTTCTGTTTTTCTGACTAGGTGCTTTGGCTGGTCAAGTAGGAAGGCTGAATGGAGAATTAGTTTGTTCTCATCTTGTGGGTAGATTTTTGCAGATGAAGCTGCTGCTCTTCTCTGGATAGAGGAATACTTATGATTTTGGATTCTGGAGTTGGATGGACCTTCATGAGTTCCATTTTCACTGATTATTCTGTGAACTCAAATAAGCTGCTTAGCTTCTTAGCTTCTCTTGAGTCTCAGTTTACTTATTTGTCTGTAATAAGGGTATAATGGTACCTATATCCAGTACAAAGGCTTCAGTATAGTTTTAACATATAGAAAGTGCTCATTAAATACTAGTTGCAATCAATATTTTTGTTGTTTTACTGGCGATTGATCCCAGAGGTACTTTAACACTGATCTCCAATTTCCAGTCCTTTTTATTTTTGTATTTTGAGACAAGGTCTCACTAAGTTGCTGAGCATCCAACAAAGTTGCTGAGGCTAGTCTCAAACTTGGCAATACTCCTGCCTTAGTCTCCCAAATTTCTGGGATTACAGACATGTGCCACCATGTCCAATTTATTGTTGACTTTTGAATATATTGAATTCATGCTGGATGTCACATCTCCCTTCAGATGACTTCCTTTCCCAGATTGCTGTAAAATAAAAACTTCATGAAAAAAGGCTTTGATAAAAATCTATGCAAACAAAACAAAACATTATACAGTAGGTTACAGGTATTCCCTATTTTTTTTTGTTTTCTAGAAGAGTTTATGTAAGATCTACATTATTTTTTCTTTAAATATTTAGTTAGAGTCTATTGGTGAAGCCATCTGAAATTTTCTTTTAAAGGAAGTTTTAAAATTATGAGCTGTTCATATTTTCTGTTTTTTGTGTGTCAGTTTTAGCAAGTTTTTTTTTTTTTATTGTTGTTGTTTATTTGCTTGTGGTGCTGGGGATTGAACCTGGGGCCTTGAGCATGCTAGGCAAGCACTCTACCACTGGTCCACATCCCCAATATCTCAGTTTTTTTTGAACCTTTATTTTATTTATTTTTATGTGGTGCTGAGAATCGAACCCAAGGTCTCCCACTGAGCCACAACCCCAATAGTTATAATTGGACACAATAACTTTATTTTATTTATTTATATGTGGTGCTGAGGAGCGAACCCAGGGCCTTGCATGTGCGAAGTGAGCACTCTACCACTGAGCCATAACCCCAGCCCCTACAATTCTTATTACATATATAGAGCCAATTTTTTATATCTCTGGTTGTATACATTTATTCTTTAGCCTACTTTAATTCAACATCCTTCCATAATGTTCCACTCATCAAATTGAAGACTTCTTTTTAATCCAGTGGACACTTCTTGGGACTCTCAAAAGCATCAAGCTACCGCTTGAGCACAACTCCTTTACAAGACTTTTTCTGCTTGGCTTTCATGCAGTTGTGCTCTCCTGTCTGCTCTTTGCTGCTTTCTGATTTTTCTTGGCAATACTCCTTCCTTAGCCTCCCAAATTGCTGGGATTACAGCAGTGTGCCACCATGGGGTCAAACCCTGGGCCATGTGCATGCCAGTCAGGTGCTCTACTAGTGAGCTACACCCTTTCCCCCTCTTTTTCCTTTTCTGATCTTCCTTCTACTTAGCATCTAAATATTGATGAAACTCAGATGGTTTTTCTACCCCAGGAATTACAAAACTCAGATGCTTGTAAGGTCCAAATGGGTAAGGTGAATGAATGATGTAAAGTAATGGTATTTTCAGCTATCCTTAAATTCATAAAGAAATATGTTCCTTCTCATTTTCTCTTTTCCTTTTTTTTTAATATTTATTTATTTTTTCTTAGTTCTCGGCGGACACAACATCTTTGTTTGTATGTGGTGCTGAGGATCGAACCCAGGCCGCACGCACGCTAGGCGAGCGCGCTACCGCTTGAGCCGCATCCCCAGCCCTCCTTTTTTATTTTGGTACCAAGAATTGTACCTAGGGCACTTTACCACTGAGCTATATCCCCAGACCTTTCTCTCTTTTTTTAAAAAAAATTTCCCCCCACAGTACTGGGGATTGATCCCAGGGATGCTATATCACTGAAGCTCTGTCCCTTTTTATTTTGAGACAAGAGTCTCACTAAGTTGCTTACAGGCATGCTGTACCCCACCCAGCTCATTCTTTCTTTACACATGAGGACTTCTTGGGCTATCTTCCAATTTCCTACTTTTAATAGAGAAGTGGATTCTGGGAAACAGTGGTGTACAAATATGAGGATAGCTAGCTTTAGTGTTGAGAAGACATTATGGTGAATTCTAATTAATATCTCATGAATGAAGAAGCTGCTATTTTGTTTAAGCCAAGTATTGCCAGATTGTCCAATCTTGAAAAAGAAATTTAGAATATGAATTTTTAAAAATATGAATTCTACTAATTCAAAAATTCTGGCATAAGTTTTTAAATATGTGAAGGCCCCAAAAGAATAAATATGTGTGTGTGTGTGTGTGTGTGTGTGTGTGTGTGTATAAATATATATATCAACAGGCACTAATTTATGCCCTATATTTCATGTTCTTATTATCTAATTTTATAGCTTTAGATATCATTTATATGTTAATTGGTGTTAAAAATAGAATGTCAATCTTTTATGTCCACCTATCTACTTGATATCTGCTCTTAAATGTCTAATAGTGATCTCAAACTTAACAGGCTCCTGCCAGGCACAGTGGTGCACACTTGTAATCCCAGCTTCCCAGAGGCCAAGATAGGAGGATCACAAGTTCAAGAACAGCCTGAGAAATTTAGGGAGATACTATCTCAAAATAAAATTTTGAAAAAGGGGTAGGGATGTACCTCAGTGGTAGAATATTTGCCTATCATATGTGAAATCCTGGGTTTAATCCACAGTACTACAAAAAAATAAAGGCAAAAAAAACCACCTCAATATGTTCCTAATAGAACTCTGGATTTTTCTTCTTAAATGTGTTATTCCTACTTTTCTGTACAATCAAGGACAATCAGGGAACTCTTCCCCCCTCTTAAGAGTTGTCCAACAGTGGAGCTGGGGTTGTGGCTCAGTGGTAGAGCGCTCGCCTAGCACGTCGTGCATGGCCCTGGGTTCGATCCTCAGCACCACATTAAAATAAATAAATAAAATAAAGGCATTGTGTCCAACTCAGCTAAAAAATAAATATTAAAAAAATAAGAGTTGTCCAACGGTGATATAATTGAACATCAGACAAATAGGCAGTTATGGTATGCTAAATTTTTTTAACATTCTGTGTTGCATCACACGAGTAAATTGGTCAGGGTCACTCCAAGTGAATTTGGGCACTAAATAAAGACACACAGACACAGAAAGTACCTTTTCTTTGGGTTTAGTGACCACTCCTCAGCTACAGCTCTCACAAGGGGGCAAGACAGGCAAGAAAGAGAGTGGGGAGCACATGCTGAACCTTTTTATTGGGGAGAAGCCATTCAAATGAGGCAAGGGGTCAGGTTTCAGGAGGTTGAGTCTAGCTTCTTGAGGTCTTGCTATCAGTAGATTGACTGATATCTAGGAAGGCCACGCCCATCTCATGAGCTGTGTGGGGATCATAGGCAGATCCAGCGAAGAAAAGAAACATCTGTCACCCGCCCAAATAGAGGCAACATCGGTTCAGTCCACTTTGTATGCTCGGTGCTTATAGTTCACACACACAGCCCACGGCTGGCTTGCTGCGTCTCCACATTCTCATCGCTCAAAGCTAAGGGGCGCTCTATTCCTATGTGGCAGCTCCTGACAATACTATAGTTTGTTAATAAAGGTTTATAGTATGTTAAATTTCTTGGCAAGATATATGAAAATTCAATATATGAAGTGGTTATCCAAAGCAGGAATTAACAAAACGTGCTACCAGACGGAGGCATGAGTTTCCAGATACCCCTGAGTTGCCCATAGTAAGGTGTAGCTATGAACAGATCATCTGTACAAAATGGGCCTCCTTCCCTGTTTTAGAAGCCATTTGCCTTTTGCCTTTGGAAGTAGAGATGAAGATGTTACTGAGTACCTTTTTGGCTCCTGACTCCTGCCTGATTGTTTCTGGAGATTTACTGCATATGTCCCTGCCTAACAGGTGCAAATAATTGATGCAATAAAGAGTGAGCTAAATAAAGGTTATTTTCCCAAGAGCATCCTTCTGCAGGCCCAGGCCTCAGGCCTACTTGAAGTTCACTTCTTTCTTCTTATGGTTAACCCCTCCCTTTCCCACTTAACAAGTATTATTGATGCTATTTCCAACATATATATTGAATCCATCTACTTCTCTGTATCTCCTCTGCTATTTCCAAAGCCTCAAGTATCTTGCATCTAGACTATTGCAGAAGCCTCCTGACTGGCCTACCTGCTTTGACTCTTGTGCATCTCCAATCCTTCTCCAAAGAGTAACCAAAATGCTCTTTTAGCCTGGCATGGTGGTGCACACCTGTAATACCAGTGGATCTGGAGGTTGAAGCAGGAGGATTACAGGTTCAAAGCCAGCCTCAGCAATTTAGTGAGGTCCTAAGCAACTCAGTGAGACCTTGTCTCTGAATAAAATTTTAAAAAGAGCTGGGGATGTGGCTCAGTGGCTGAGTACCCCTGAGTTCAATCTCTGGTACCAAAAAGGAAAAAAGAAAAAAAAAAAAAAAAAAAAAAGGAATTCAGGGCTGGGGTATAGCTCAGTAGTAGAGTGCTTGCCTATAGTATGCCTGTTGCCCTGAGTTGGATTCCTAGGACCACCATCAAAAAAAAAAAAAAAAAAAGCAAGTCAGATCACATCAGTCTTCCGTTTAAAACCCTTCTAATTGCTTAAAATAAAATTCAGATGTCTTAGTTACATTCTCTTTTTTTTTTTTTTCTGATTTTGTCTCCTTTCATATTATTCTCCAGCCACACAGGTTGTACAGGAACACTTGAACAGGGAAAACTTATTTCTAAAAGCCTCAGGCTAAATTTAACTGATTTGTTAACTCCACAGACTATATTCCTTAGTTAACCTGTGCCAGCCCAGAATATGGTCCCATATCATTTTTTACTCTCTGCTGCCATCATGGGGTCATTTAAAGACTCCTAGGCCTTGCCAGAGACTAAACAGCTCTCAGTTTTTACTGAAGCTAAAATGGATTATCCTTTGACTCTCAGGAAGAAAGTTCTCCAACCCTATGTTCTTTAAATGAATCACTGAAACACAGAAGAGTGTTAAGAAATTTCATCTGTAATGACTGATAACATAATTCATTTAAAATTATTACTTTTGTGTATTTTTAATTAATTAATTTATTTTAATTAGGTATATATGATAGCAGAATGCATTTTGTTTCATTGTACACAACTGCAGCACAACTTTACATTTCTATGGTTGTACACAATGTAGCATCACACCATATGTGCAATCATACATATACCTAGGGTATAATGATGCTCATCTCATTTTGTGTATATTTAATAGTGTATACAGGAGTAGGGGTGTAGCTCAGTGATAAAACACATACTTAACATGCATGAGGCTCTGGGTTCAATCTCCAGTCCAAAATATGTATATAATACAGTAGTACCACATTACATGTATGTGATTTATAAATAAATATACATGTACAGTCGTGTGCCACTTATTGAAAATAATATATTCTAGAAATGTCTCATTAAGCAACTTTGTCATTATGTGAGCATTATAGTGTGTGGTATGGTTAGTCACTTGTTGTGGCCTTTTGATGCAATCTAGAGATGTCATAAACAGGAGATTGTATGAGGCTGCTACTGGAGTAACATGACATACATCTTACAGTAAACTTTTTTTATAAGTAGAACAGTCTAAAATAATAAAAATGTGATATATATAAACTAGTAATATAGTTGTTTGTTATTATGTTGTTGTTGGTGGTAGTATTTTTGCAGTATTAAGAGGTTGACCCAGGGGTGCTTTATCACTGAGCTATATCCCCAGCCTTTTTTATGTTTAGACAGAATCTTGCTAAGTTGCTAAGGCTGGCTTTAAACTTGTGATCCTCTTGCCTCAGCCTCTTGAGTCACTGGGATTACAAGTATGCACCAGCACACTTGGCTTATTTATTTATTATTATCAAGTATTATGTACTATACTTAGTGGTATGTTTTAAACTTTTTAATTTTTTATTTTTATTTTAAAATATTACATAATTTTGCATATTTATGGAGTACAGTGTGATATCTCAATACTTGAATAGAGTGTGCAATGATAAGATCAGGATAATAGACATTCATTCCCTCAAATGTATCTTATCTTTGTGTTTGGTGTGCTTTATTTTATGACTGGCATTCTGTAGGTTTCTTTATACCAGCATCACCACAAATATGTGAGTAATGCTTTGTGCTATGATGTTACAATGGCTATATGTCCATCACTGCGTGACAGGAGTTTTTCAGCTCCATTATAAACATATGAGACCACCATTGTATATGTGACCCATATTATTGACTGAAACATTACATGGCATATGACTATATATTGTGTATATCTCAAACATTTTTATATGGGTTAAATAATCTTAAAAAACCCCAGAGACCACATGATTAAATGATACTAATGAAATAAAGAAAAAGGGGAAATATGAGAAATAAAAACTGGGCATCTTATTTTTTAAGCTAAATTGCCTTTCTAGAAAAATTACACTTCTAATTATGCATTCAATGTAAATTGGAATCATAATTATACATTTGGATGCCTAGTAAGTAAACTGATTAAAATATATAGGATCTTCAACACAGTACAGAAGCACTATTAAAAAGGCATATGTATTGGCTCTGGGTTTGAGCCTCAGCACCACAGAAAAATAAATAAGTAATATAAAGGTATTATGTCCAACTACAACTAAAAAATAAATATATTTTTTAAAGGCATATGTATGTTTGTATTCAGTTGTATATTTTATTTATTGGACCTGATGTGCAAAGGTCAAGCCTTAAGAATTTGCAAGGTTTTTTTTTTTTTGCCAAATTAGCAGTACTACATATTAGAAGTGGAGAGCTATAGTCTTTTCTAAGGCAGGGCAGATATACATTGAGCATCCCTGATCTGAAAATCTAAAATGCTCCAAAATCTGAAAATTCTTGAGTGCTGACATGATAAAAGTGGAAAGTCCACACCTGACCTCAAGTGACAGGTCATAGCCAAAATGCAGCTGTGCTAATAATATTGTACAAAATTACCTTTAGGTGGTATATATAAAGTATATATGAAACATAAATGAATCTTATGTTTAGACTTGGGTCTCATCCTCAAGATATTTCATTGTATATGCAAATATTCCAAAATCTGAAAAAAAAAATCCAAATCCAAAATACTTCTGGTGTCAAGATTTTTGGATAAGGGATATTCAGCCTGTATTACAGAGGGAGAAAGCTGCTTATTAATGGAAAAGGCAGTTTTGCCACATCAAGATGGATTGGTATAGAACAAAAACCAATATTCAATTCTCTTTTTGTTTGTTTTGTTTTTTGGTACTGGGGATTGAGCCCACACTGAGCCACATCTTTAGTCCTTTTTATTTTTTATTTTGAGATGGGGTCTTATTAAGTTGTTTAGGGCCTTGCTAAATTGCTGAGGCTAACCTTAAACTTGTGATCCTTCTTCTTCAGCCTCCCGAGTCACTGAGACTACAGTTGTGTGCCACCACACCCAGAAGTAGACATATTTCTTCTAAGTCTTTTGAATCTTGACTGAGATAGACACCATAGAGATCACACGGGCATGGTTTGTTTTAAGGGTATAAAACTACTACTTATTTGTAAAGCAGTGCCTGAGAAGAAATTCTAAGGCTTGTATGAATTAACTCATGTTTTACTTAGCATTAGGGTAGAATTTGAGGGCCAAGACTCTCAAATATTTTATTTTTAACAGCAGCTCTTTGTAATGCTTGTTTCTCTCTGTGACTTTGGTTAGCTCAACTATGAAATATTCCTGCTGATTACTTGTGACATTGTTTGAATCACTCCTTTGGTATTTGCTGTGTCGTTTTCTGTGTTTGTCAGCTTGTGTTTCTAATGTCTGCTGTACCTCCTGTGAGGTTGTATGTTCCTAAATCAGGAACCCTGCTTCCATAACCATGGCTGTGATGGCACCGTTCAGTGCCTTGCACATAGGTAGTGTGGCAGTGAGAGAGCCACACTGTCCTGGCACAGGGTCTTTCAACCTCCCCATTTTTCACATTTTGGGCAGGTGATTTTTCGTTGTGAATGGCTAGTCTGTACAGTGTGGGATGTTTAGCAGCGTTCTGGCCTCTACCTACTAGATCCCAGTGTACTTCTTTCTCCCATATGTAACAGCTAAAATTTTCTCCAGACATTACCAAATTTCCTTTGGAGGGAAAAATCATTGTCCTTTGAGAAGTACTTCTCTAGAGACTGGGAAATTTAGGTTATAGTCCTGGCTTTATTATTAAGTCATCATATTTGGTCAAACTGTTTCACCTGTAGGCCTTAAGTTTCCTCTCCTGAAATATGAGAAGGATTGGAATTTATTGGGAACCTATTTTGGAGCCCATGGATAGTTTTTTGTTTTTGGTACTGGGGATTGAACCCAAGGGTGCTTGACCTTTACCAGTGAGCTGTATCACCATTCCTTTTTATTTTTTATTTTGAGACAGGATCTCTCTAAGTTTCTGAGGCTGGCTTCACACATGTGATCCTCCTGTCTTAGCATCCTGAGTTGCTGGGATTATGGGACTTACCTATATGCTCAACATCCCATGGATAGTTTTAGGGAATCTTTAAACTCTTAAAAATATATGTGAATTTTGTATATAAATTTTTCTAGGGATAACATTTTAGCTTTTAGTATTTTTTCAAATTGACCTATGACCCCCCAAAAGATGAAACCTAGGTCTAAATATGGTTAATACATGAAATTATTTTTATCTCTTAAGATAAATGTCCTAACTTAATGCTCAATATCCATTTTTATCTTTATGACCACCATTTAGATAAGAAATGCTGAGAAAGCACTTTGTGCTACCAGGGTTTGTTTTATTGGCAGGTACCACTTATTTACACAGCTACATTTCCTACCTATTTTTAAAAATCAGTTTCTGAGAGTGTTATGATAAGGTAAGTGAGTGGTGTTGCTGGTATGTGTGTCAGAGAGTCTGGATGATGAAGAGAACATGGTCATTTGGCACTCTACTCCTTAGCCCTCTTTTCTAGTACTGCGTCGGACTCTGCCAATGTGTGTCCCAGAGTGCCTCTTTGTCAGCTGGCCACTATTTATGGACTGCTGATGTTTCAGGGCTACAGTTGGGCTCCCAAGAAGCTTTATTTAGGTTGCTGCTTCACAGTGTCCATTGTGTTAGTTAGTACTTACTCTCCTTAGATTTAACCCCAAATCTGGTTGGCTTCTCTTTTGGGGAAGTTTAAATTGTGCCTCTTAGCCTTACCCCACCCCACCCTTGCCCCCAGTTTTATGTTGTGCTTACTGCTCTTTAGTCTTAGTGGTATGAACCATAGATCATGGTCTTTCTTGCTCTGTTGCAGGTGAATCTGGAAGGCAAAGCTAGTCCTCTGTCACTCTTACAGATGGCCTCACCAAGTGGCCTGTGTGTGTTGGTTCGCTTGCCCAAGCTGATCTGTGGAGGTAAAACACTACCAAGAACGTTATTGGACATTTTGGCAGATGGCACCATTTTAAAAGTTGGAGTGGGATGTTCAGAAGATGCCAGCAAACTTCTGCAGGATTATGGCCTCATTGTTCGAGGGTGCCTGGACCTCCGCTATCTGGCCATACGGCAAAGGTATGATTGACATGAATGCTAGGCTATCCACAGCTGTGGGGCAAACATTTTAGCAAGATTTGTAGATTATTAGAAATCGATATTGAAATCTTTGAAATTCTTTAGAAACCCAGAGGATTCTGAAGTGCATATTGAATTTATAAGATTATTTCAACTTCCGAGATCACATTAGTTACCTAGAATTTGTCATTTTTGTGTATGGTGCTGGTGTTTGAACCCACAGTCTTGTGCATACTAAACAAACACTGTAATACTGAGCTATATCCACAGGCCTTTTTATTTTTTTGAGACAGGGTCTCATTGAGTTGCCCAGGCTGACCTCAGACTTGGGATCCGCCTTCCTCAGCCTCACGAGTAGGTGGGATTATAGGCATGTGCCACCATGCCTGATGAATTTGTCTTTTTTTGATGAAATGTTAGTATCACTATAAATTTAAATTTATCACTATAAATTTAAATGTTAGTATCACTATAAATTTACAAACTGGCTAAATTAGGGCTGCAGCTTTTTTTTCCCACATGAAAATTCAATTTTAAATCCAGAAGATTTAATTGTAAGTATCAGTATTTCTGGCTTTTCTTGAAAATTTAAATGAGTCCAGAGTTCTTGAGGGCAATAATGGGCCAGATAGTGATTGTCCCCTTTAATGAACATACTCTTTTAAATTTATCAGAGTCTCTACCATTCCCATTATAACCCTGACTCATCCTGATAAACATTTGAGTTTGCAAACCTTGCTTTAGGCTAAAAATTATGATAGAGTTAGCACTTGTCTGGGAGGAAGAGTGATTTCCCTTTTCCTTAGAATTCTATTCCTATGGAAATTCTATTTCAACTTGTTTTTTCCAGGGGTCATGTTTCCTCTTCATGTGTTTGTACCAGTCCTCCTTTATAATGACAGGAGCTGAAACAGCTCATCTTGCCTCAAGTGATACTGACACTAAAAGGTGGGAGGATTTGACAAGCTTCAGAGATGGCCTGATTAAAATCTGTGCTTATCATAGTTTTTTAGTATAAAATGAATTTAAAAAAATATTTTAAAAATTGTGGATGGACCTTTATTTTATTTATTAATTAATTTATTTTCGGTACCTCACACATGCTCTACCACTGAGCCCCAGCCCCAGCCCTCAGTGGTAGAGCACTCACTTAGCATGCGTGAAGCACACAGTTCGATCCTTAGCACCACATAAAAGTAAAATAAAAGTATTATGTCCATCTATAACTTAAAAACATATATTTTTAAAAAATGAATTTTTAGTTTGGTTTATATGCAGAAATCTCTTGTAAGTATACATTTTTTTCTATACATTTTGTTTCATTAAAATATTGCTGTAAAAATGAAAATTCTGTAAAAAATATTTTAAGTATAACAGCAAAAGCTACCTTTTATTAAGGCTTCCCATATTCTGTGCCATGTATAGAAGCTAAAGGTTACTTGGGAGCAGACTATGTGTGGGAGTCCTAGTGCTGCCACTCACTAGCTTTGTGAAGTTTGGCAAGGCACTAACTTCTCTGTTCCTCAGTTTCTTTATCTATAAGAGATAGCAGTGTTTCCACCTTGTAAGACTGGTGTGAGGATTAAATCAGTTAAACTCTGTAAAGAACTTAGTGTTCGACATGTACAGTACTATGTAAATTTTAACTGTTACTTTCTTCATCATTACAGCTGCTTGATTTTCCTTTTAGATCTTTTTCTATGCATTTATTCTTACTATATGAACACATAGAAATTGAAGGTACATTGAATTCTCTTTTTGACTAAATACAGAATGATCAAGTGTCAAAATAAGAATTTAGCCAAAGCTGAATATTATTTTGAATTTCTCCAGAAATAAGAATAAAACTTATCAGACCTTTCCTTTTTTTAAGGACATCAGAATTTTAAAAACTATTTATTGGGGTTGGGGTTGTAGCTCAGTGGTAGAATGCTTACCTAGCACTCTACGTGTGAGGCCCATGGTTCAATCCTCAGCACCACATAAAGATGAATATATAAAGTAAAGGTATTGTGTCCATATACAACTACAAAAAATATTTTAAAAAACACTTTTATTGAGCACTTTAGTAATAAAATTAAAATTTTTGACATACTATATTTGATATTAGGGGTAAGACTCAAACTCAGTATTAACAGCTGTTAGATTGCTCCTGTTGTTGACTATGGTAAGTAGTTATTTCTTTCAGCTAACTAGGAAGTTAGATGGAACTGACATTTAACTAAAGGTAGCAAGATTTTAGGGGGACAACTGCTATCTTCTTACTCTTTAGACTTTTTTAAGAAACAGGGTTTCACTATATTCCCCAGACTGGTCCAAACTCCACTGCTTAAACAATCTTCCTGTCTCCAGGCTCCCAAGTAGCTGGGACTATAGGTGTGCATCACTATGCCTAGCATCTTTAGATTTTTTATTGTAGAAGTTGTTGTACATGATTTTGAAATCTTTTATTGAAAACATAAAGTGGAAAAAGTGGCATTTTTTAAAAAATATTTTTTTAGTTGTGGATGGGCACAAGACCTTTATTTTTTTACATGGTGCTGAGGATTGAAACCAGGGCCTCACACATGCTAAGCAAGTGCTCTACCACTGAGCTACAACTCCAGCCCTGGCATTTTGTTTTTAATTCATCCTCAAGAAATGTGAAATCTTCCCAAATGTGACATTAAAAAAATTTAATCACTCAAGTGGAATTATTAAATAACTAAAAATTAAATATTGTCTTCAATGAGGGTAACAATTTTAAGAAATAGAAGTACCCATGCTTGTAAAACTACACAGCTGTTAAAAAGGATGAAGTGAGAACATTTGTATTATCTGCCATGGAAGGAAATATATAGTACATTAAGAATAGAGTAAATTGTAAAGCAGAGAACAAAGCAAATACCAAAATAAGACATTTTCTCCTTTACCTATAACCATCTGTTGTTTTTTGTGCATAGAAAAAACATGGAGGGGTGACATTGTTAAGAGTGGTTATTTCTGAGCTGGGGATATGGCTCAAGCGGTAGTGTGCTCGCCTGGCATGCATGCGGCCCGGGTTTGATCCTCAGCACCACATACAAACAAAGATGTCGTGTCTGCCGAAAACTAAAAAAATAAAATATTAAAAATTCTCTCTCTCTCTCTCCTCTCTCTATCTTTAAAAAAAAAGTGGTTATTTCTGAGAAGAGAAAATATGAGTGAATGAGTGGAGGAGTTTTCTTTTCACCCATTGTATTTCTCTGTCATTTGAGTTTTAATAATAAGCATTCCTTCTGTTGTAATTTTTTTGGTACTGGGTATTGAACCCAAGGCCATGCTCATGTTGTGCACATGCTTACCACTGTGCTACAACCTGGCTCCTACTTTTATATTTTATTTTATTTTGATACTGAGGATTTAACTTAACCACTGAGCTACAAGCTCTGCCAGTGAGCATTTGACTTTTTTTTTTTTTTTTTTTTGAGACAGGTCTCTCTAAATTTCCAAGGCTGGCCTTGAACTTGCAATTCTTCTGTCTGAGCCTCCTGAGTAGCTGGGATTATAGGCATGTGTTACATGTGTTCTTAATTTCATGTTTGTTTTTGATCTTTGGACAAATTAAATTTTTGTACCACTTTGTGGCAATTTTTTTTTTTAAGAGAGAGTGAGAGAGGAGAGTGAGAGAGGGAATTTTTAATATTTATTTTTTAGTCGGCGGACACAACATCTTTGTTGGTATGTGGTGCTGAGGATCGAACCCGGGCCACACGCATGCCAGGTGAGCGCACTACCGCTTGAGCCACATCCCCAGCCCCCACTTTGTGGCAATTTTAATCAGAATTTTTTTGAAGCACACAAAGTGTAGTTTTTTGAATTTTCACCTCTTCAGTGAAAATAACCTTATCACTTTTTCACATTTAAGAAGTAATGCATAGGGGTTGGGATTGTGGCTCAGTGGTAGAGTGCTTGCCTAGCATGTGCGAGGCCCTGGGTTCGATCCTCAGTACCACATAAAAATAAATAAATAAAACAAAGGTATTGTGTCCAACTACAACTAAAAAATAAATATTTTAAAAAATAAATAAAGGTATTGTGTCCATCTATAACTAAAAATATTTTTAAAAAAGAAGTAATATGTAAACACTATTGATAGGTATTTAGGTTGTTTTGTTTATAATTCTTTCCTATTGTAAGTAGTGCTTTAGTGAAGATCATTTTATGTACTTTTGTCTTTAGGATAAACTCCCAGAAGTGGAATTGTTGGATCAGAGAATTTTCATGTTCAAAGTTTTGGCAATTGTTTATTATTAAACTGTTTTTCACAAAGGCTAAAAAAAAAAGTACCATTCACAAATTTTATTTTTGTATTTGTTTAGTTATTAATTTTTGAGTGTGGCACTAGGGATTGAACCTGTGTCCTCATGCATGCTAGGCAAGCACTAGGCAAATCACTGAGCCACATCCCCAGCCCATTCATTCACAAATTTTAAATGATATTGCCTGATTCTTCATTCTTCATTGACACTGTATACAGTTTTTTAAAAAACTCTTTGCACTCTGATAGATAACAAATTATCATTTTATTTGATGTCTAGGGATTATTGGTCCTCTGTTTATTATTGGTAATTTATATGTCATTTTTTAATTTTCCTGCTCATATTCTTTGCTCATTTTTTGATATATGATTTTTTTTTTTATTGTAGGAAAAATTTGCTGTGTAATGGACTTAGCCTGAAATCACTTGCTGAAACAGTTTTGAACTTTCCCCTTGACAAGTCCCTTCTACTTCGTTGCAGCAACTGGGATGCTGAGAATCTTTCAAAGGATCAGGTACTTCTTATCAGAATAGTGGGAGAATAAAAGTCATTGCCTCAGAAATATAATTGTTTTTAAAATTCTGATTTTCTCGTGTGATATAAGTAATAGGTAGAGATGCCTTAAAATAGACTTAGAATCTGGTGATACTCAATATACTCAAGATAATGTACCTGCCACTTTAAATAAAAGATTTAGTCTCTATTATATTTTATTTTTTGAGCATTTATTATGTGCCAGGAATTTCAGAAAATGTAATTTTTTATGAATACAAATTAATAATTAATGAAAAATATAAGTGTTATTTAAGACATCACATAAGAAACAGTAAGTGGTTACCTGCCTTAACCACCTCATTCCTAATTCCTCTTCCTTCTTATCAGAAGAAATTTCTTTCTGGTAGTTTCCAGGATATTTCTAAATTACATGCATTGCTCTTTCTTATTGTACATATATGTTTTGAGTTTTTACTATAGAAGATATGATTTAGTAGTCTTGCAATTTCCTTATGTTCAACCCAGTATTTATTCCCTATCCCATTCTCCTAATGTAGGTAAATTATCATTTTTATTAGTTAATATAATATAAATTCGTGTGTGTGTGTGTGTGTGTGTGTGTGTGTGTAGAGGACTTTACTTTTTTTAGGTGCTGGGATAAAAGCCAAGGCCTTGGGCTTGGGAGGCAAGCACTCTCCCAGCCCTTCCACTATTGATATTGCTATTTTTTATAACTAAGTAACATGGTAAACTACAATGTTTTTTTTTTCTTACACACTTTTTGTTTTCCCAGGAACAATATATATATTTTTTCTTGCTTTATGTTCTATATAACTATGAATTGTTTTAACCTTCACCTCTTTGCCAGAACTATAGATCTGCTCTTGGCTGGTTCAGACACATCAGGTGGACTACTCATTTGGTTTTCTCATGGAGCCCATCCCCCTGTGGATGCCAGATGACAGCTCCCTCCCAGGACTGATTGTACTCTAACCCTGCTGCCCAACTCTCATCCTGGAATTTTGCTTCTAGCATCAGCCCAGGGATTCCCTTCACTTCTCTTCTATAGTTGATCTTATATTTTCTAAATTCCAGACCTTTTCCCTTTTTTATCTTGGTGGCATACATTTATAACAGCTTCCTGAGAAAGGGGACACTGGGATGTGATTTATGACACCTACCTGTCTGAAAAATACTTGGTTTCCCTTTCCTTAATAAATAGTTTGACTGAGGATAGCATTTTAGGGTGGAAATACTTTTCTTTCAGAACTTTGAAGGCAGTGCTCCTTGTCTTCTAGCTTCCAGTGTTGATATTTAGTGTATGATTTCTTTTTTTTTCTGGAACATTTCTTCTCCTTAGTTTTTTGAAATTCATGAGGACAAACATGATGGTTAGGCCATTTTTCATTCATTTTGTTTTAATTCAGTGAACCCTTCAGTCGAGAAGCTAATGTCTTTCAGTTCAGGGAATTATTCTCAAATTATTTCTGAAAATGTTGTAGTCTACTTTTCATTTTTAGAACTCATATATTTTTAGTATACTGGAAATTGGACTCCATGAACTGATCTTCTAATTTTCTTGGAGAAATATTTTCTCTTGTGTTTTCTCTCTCTCTCTCTCTCTCTCTCTCTCTCTCTCTCTCTTTTTTATCTTCTGGGAAATTTCTTCAAATTTATCTTCTAGTTTTTCTATTGAATTTTTAATTATTCCTTATCATGTTTTTAAACCACAAGAATTCCTTAGTCATCTTTAAGTATTCACTTTTAAAATAGTTTTCTGTTTCTTTTTTTTAATGGGTATAATATCATATCTTAGAATATTAAAGATTTCTGAAGTTTTCTTTGCTTCCTGAATTGTCTCTTTTTTCTCTGAGTTCCTTATTAAAAATGTTTTGGTCTTTGTCTTTCATGTTAAAGGTTTTTCTCAAATGTTCATAACCTAAGTTATCTATTCACGTTTAAGGAGGAGACATAAAGAGCTGATCAGATCAAATAGCTGATGAATGGATAAACAAAATGTGATATAACCATACAGTGGGATATTATTATTCATGAAAGTGGTGCATTCTGTAACATTGATGAATCTTTAGTGTTATGCCAAGTGAGAAAAATCACTCACAAGGGATCTCATAGTGTGTGATTCCATTTGCATGCAGTATCCAGAATAGGTAAATGTGTAGAGTCAGAAAATAGATAGGTAGTTGCCTAAGATTGGGGAACTCAGATCTAAGAATATAAGGTTTCTCTTTGGAGTGATGAGGATGTTCTAAAGTTGATTCTGGTGATAGTTGCACCACTTCGTAAGTACACTAAAAATCATGAGTTAGATACTTTTAAAATGAGTGAATTATATCTCAGTAAAGCTAGTGTATAAAAAATGTTGATTGATAATGAAAGTGGCAAAGTGATATCTACATGCTCTGTAAGGTTCTTTTTAGAATTTTTTTGGTACTGGAGATTTAACCCAGGAGTGCTTTACCACAGAGCTGCTTCCCCAGTCCTTTTTGCTTTTTTCATTTTGAAACAGGGTCTCACTAAATTGCTGAGGCTGGCCTCAAACTTGTGATCCTCCTTCCTCAACCTTCCATGTCGCTGGGATTATTGGCATGCACTACCACACTGTTTTTTTGTTTTTGTTTTTGTTTTTGTTTTGATCCTGGGGGATTGAATCCAAGAGCACTTAACCACTGAGCCACATCCCCAGCCCCCCCAATCTTTTTAAAAAAAATATTTATTTATTTTTAGTTGTAGATGGACAGAATACCTTTATTTCACTTATTTATTTCTATGTGGGGCTGAGGATCGAACCCAGGGTCTTGCACATGCAAGGTGAGCGCTCTACAGCTGAGCTAGAACCCCAGCCCCCCTCACCCTTTTTTAATTATTTATTTTTTAGGTATAGTTAGACACAGTGCCTTTATTTTATTTATTTATATATGCTGAGGATCGAACCCAGGGCCTCACAGGTGCTAGGCTAGCACTCTATTGCTGAGCTACAACCCCAGCCCCTCCCTAGTCCTTTTTAGTATTTTATTTTGAGACATGGTCTCGCTGAGTTGCATAGGGCCTCGCTAAGTTGCTGAGGCTATCTCTGAACTCACAATTCTCCTGCTCAGCCCCCTAAGCCATTGGGATCATAGGTGTGCACCACCATGCCAGGCTAAAAGACCATTTTAGTTACTCTATGGAGAAGGATTGCAGGTACACAAGAGTTAAGGCAGGTAGGCCAACAGGAGGCTACTGTAATAGTCTAGATTCGAGATACTTGAGGCTGGGAGTACAGGCATTTGCCACTGTGCCTGGCTGGTGGTTCTTGATTGAATCAGGGACCCCAAATCCTGGAATATCTTTAAAAGACTTTTTCTTAGGATAATTAGAGATATTAAACTATTTATTAGACATTTTAATTATCTATATCTTCATCCCTTTACATTTTTTTGAGACAAAGGTCTCACTAAATTGCTGAGGCTAGCCTTGAACTTTCAATCCTCCTGCCTCAGCTTCCTGAGTCATTGTGGTTATAGGCATGGTGCCCAGTTAACTATAATGTTCTTATATTGTGTTACTGTTATAGTTCTGGAGTGTTGTGATTCTGTAGGAGAGTGTCCTTGTTTTAGGAGATACACACGGAGAGATTTAGAAGTGAAATATAACTTAACTTTGAAATAAATTCAGCCAAAAAATGTGATGTGTTTATTATAAAGAGATAAAGCAGTTATTGACAATTATGAATGTCAGTTGTTATTGCTAGTCTTTTAACTTTTATATATTTGAAAATTTTCAGAATAAAAATTTAGGGTGATAAAGTTAATTGTTGCCAAATTTGAAACCAAATTTGTGATTCATATTATTTCTGTAAGCATTCAGAATTTCCAATGACTTTTTTTTCATTGTTTTAGCAATGATTTTTTGTTGTTGTTCTAATTATAAAAATAATACTTAACAAGATTTTAGAAAATATGGAAAATAATATTTGCATTTGATATTAAAAAATTTTCATTGAGAGCATAGAGTATGGCTAGGACTTTTGGACTAGTGGGCTTCATTGCCAGTAGCTACAGATTATACTCAGATGTCAGTAACTGTTTTTTCTCTTAGTTTCTCTAGGTAGAGTCTTCTACCCCACTACTCATTAGCTGGTAGGCGAAGGGGAGAAGGGAGCTGGTGGTCTCACCATGCAGTACATAGACTTTCTCACAACCTCCTCCTTTTTTTCCAAGTGACATTTTGCCCCTTTCTTGGGTTGTGCCTGGTATACAAGGTCCAGATCCTCTCTGGTTTAACCATTATATCACTTAAACTTTTACTCTGTTTTGGGGTAGGAAGTGGTAGTTACCTAGCCCTGTGGTCTTGATGCTCTTGATAATCTTGTGCTCTTTTTTTCTTTTTTCTTTTTTTTGGGGGGTGTTAGACACAATACATTTATTTTGTTTATTTATTTATTTATTTATTTATTTTTATGTGGTGTTGAGGATCGAACCCAGGGCCTCAGGCATGCTAGGCAAACGCTCTACCACTGAGCCACAACCCCAGCCCTTGTGCTTTATTTTTCAATTGTAGTTGGACACAATACCTTTATTTTATTTTTATGTGATGCTGAGGATCGAACCCAGGGCCTCGCACGTTCTAGGCGTGTGCTCTACCACTGAGCCACAAACCCAGCCCTTATCTTGTGCTTTTGATAGACTTTTACCTTATCTTTCCACTTTCACCCCTGCTTGTACCCTTGCTTTCATAGTCATCTGATGAGGTAGTCCTCCCTACTTTCCTCTCTCTGTGGCTCAAACCAATTTGATTTTTGACTTTTTGGCCTACCACACCCAGTAGGTCTAGGTTTTGGCCTTCTCATTTACCACATTGGATACCACTTGTTCATTCTTCAAAAATGTTAAGGGGTAGTGACGCATGCCTGCAATCCCAGCAACTTGGGAGGTTGGGGCATGAGGATCATAAGTTTAAGACCAGTCTCAGCAACTTAGCAAGATTCTGTCCCAAAAAGTATGTGTGTGTGTGGGGGGGGGGGGCTAGGAATGTGGCTCAGTGGTTAAGTGCCCCTGGATTCAATCACTGGTACCAAAACATACATACATACATACCCAAATAAATAAATAAATGGAAAGATTTAGCAGTAGTATCTCAAGTTTAACATTCTGTGGGAGAGTTCTAGGAATCAAATTACTTGAGTTTGTTTTCTTTCTTTTTTTTTAAAGCTTAATTTTAATTATAGATTTTATTTATTTATGTATTTATTATTATTTTTGTGGTGCTGGGAATTGAACCCAGGCTTTGCACATGCTTGGCAAGTTCTCTATCATTGAGCTGCTGTATCTCCAGACCTGAGTTTGTTTTCTCCAGAGATTTCTGATTTGTGACCCTGAGTAAGTTTCTTTCTTTTTAGAACATTTTTGTTGAGATACAATTTACCTATAATAAAAATTATCCACTTTAAATTACACAATGATGGATTTTAGTACAATTGCAGTATTGTATACCTCTCATCACAATCTTATTTTTTGGTACTGAAGATTGAACACAGGAGTACTCTACCAATGACTTACATCCCTAGCCCTTTTTAGTTTTTATTTTGAGATAAGGCCTCACTGAGTTTCTTAGCACCTCGATTTTGCTGAGGCAGCTCCTGCCTCATGAGCCTCTGGGATTACAGGTGTATATCACTGCACCAGGCAATTGTCTAGTTATTTTTTTATCACTTAAACTTTTGACGTCATATCCAGGAAATCATTGCATAGCCTGAGACTCTGTGTTCTCCTTTAAGATCTTGTTTTAGCTCTTGCATTTAGGTGTGTGATCCATTTTGAATTAAATGTGTGTCCTGTGAGTTAGGGATCTACACTTGTTCTTTTTCATGTTGACATCCAAGGTACTCGCACTGTTTTTTTGAAAATACCTGTTCCTTTATCTTTTGCAAACAATGTGTTGAGAAGCACTCTGGGCTCTTCAGTGAGAGACAGTCTGCCAATGGATCAATAGATTGGGAGCTTGGGATATAGCTTAGTTGGTAGAATGCTTGCCTTGCATGCACAAGGCCCTGGGTTCAACTCTAGCACCACACAAATGCACACACACAAAAAGATAAGTAGATTGTTGGATCTAGGTGGAAAAGTGTAGCTGAACTTGTTTTATTATTCTAAAAGGTAGGACATCCTTACCAATTAAATTATTTACCCAGCCTGATTATTAAAGTTGAATTAAAGGAATTTTTAAAGTCTTTCCCTCTTTTTGGGAAGAGCTATTAATTTTGACTACTTTTATTTATGACCAGCTTGGATGTTATCAGTTGCCAGAAAGAATGACTTACTATTGTTAAATTAGAGGAATGGACCCTGTGACTTTTGATTTGAGGCCCATGATTAAAACTTATTTGTTTCATTTCTTTTCAGCATGAACAGTTGATAGGTCATTTCTGATTGACAGTCACACAGTCCTCTTAATTCAGCTCATAGTCATAGTTTCAGCTCTTTTAAAAGATGGCTGCCCCCAAAGTGAATTTCATGTACTCATTGTCAGACCTATGTTAACTGTATTTCCCCCAAACTTGAGAAAAATTTGTCTAGCAGTTTGGTAGCAAATAGAAATTTCATTGATTTATATAGGTAATAAGGATTATCTGGCATTTAGAATACATCATTATTTTAGCTATTTTTTTTAAATATACCTTTATTTTATTTATTTATTTTTATGTGGTGCTAAGGATCTAACCCAATGCCTTGCATGTCCTAGGAGAATCCTCTATCGCTGAGCCACAACCCCAGCCCCTACTTTAGCTATTTTTGTTAAAGATAGAGGGAATGTGAGAGTTCATTATATTATTCAATTTACTTTCCTATGACTTGAATTTTTTATAATAAAAAGTTTTTAAGAAGTATATAATACTTAGATTATAATACATTTTGAATTAGAATTCTTTGACTTTGAAGTTACTCTCTCTAGTTTGCCTTCTGGATTTCATTGATCTCCAGTTCTTTTTCTTCAGGTAACATATGCAGCCAGGGATGCCCAGATTTCCGTGGCTCTCTTTCTCCATCTTCTTGGACACCCTTTCTCTAGGAATTTACCTGTGGAAGAAAATGATGACCGCATTGGCTGGAGAAAAGTCTTGGAGAAATGCCAGGATGTGGTAGACATCCCATTTCGAAGCAAAGGAATTAGCAGATCGGGAGAAGAGGTTAATGGGGAAGCAACAGAATGTCAGCAGAAGCCAAGAAATAAAAAGTCTAAGGTCAATGGAATGGTGCCAGGCAACCACCAAGGAAGAGACCCCAGGAAACACAGAAGAAAGCCCCTGGGGGTGGGCTATTCTGCCAGGTAACCCAAGTTGTTCCCTGGCTAGTAAAGATTGTGAGGGGCTTTGCCGTAGGTCTGGGAGAAGGCTTGGGTCAGCTAGCAGAGTCTCCTCAGGGGTTAATGTTACTTTTCTCTGCCTTTAGGCACATTTAGACTATTCTTTGCTTGATTTTTGTATTTTTCTTATTTTCCCCTTCTTTTACTTTTCTCTTTTTTGACAATTGAAGTGGAAATGAGGAGCGCTTAGCCTAGCTTAATCATTGACCCTCACAGGATCTTAGATTATTATGTCTCTGCCTACAAAGGGGGTATAATTATTATCCCTCGTTTGTTTCAGGATAGCTATAAAAATGTGTAACATGATGTGCCTGATACTTTTCCAGGGAAATACATCTTTGGGTTTCTTGTTCATTTGGTATTTGATGGTTGCAAATGATATCCAGCTCTAATTCAACATTATTTTCTAGCCAATGAGAATTTCCCTGTGGGACATAACACCTTTGTTATAAGAAGATGACTAATAAGTACTTTGGAGCAGGAATTTGGTCCCTATAGCAAAGTGCCTTTAGGAATTAGATGATTAAGTTGAAAGAAGTATTTCATGTGAGCCAGAGATAAATCTACATGGCCCTCATGACTTAAGCTTGAACTTAAAATTTTTAAAGTTACTTTGCTTACTCCAGTCATTTGGCAGTATTCTTGTTGCTGTTTCCTCTTTGTTCACAGCAGAGCTATGTAAATGCTACCTAACTCACTCCCTAATGTCCCATTCTGTAAGTGTAAAAACTAGAGGCATTCACAAATTGATTTCTAGTTCTGCTTGCTAGTGCAGTGCAGACAGAGGATTGAACATGGATTCTTGCCCTGTTTGTTTTTTCCATATTGGGTGTGTTTGACCCTAATGTGGAGAATAGTTTGAATCATTCAGAAGAGATTATGAGAAGGTAATGGGTACCCTGGCTAAAAGTTAGCTTTCAATATAAGCTTTCTCTCTCCCTTGTCTACAGAAAATCACCTCTTTATGATAACTGCTTTCTCCATGCTCCAGATGGACAGCCCCTCTGCACTTGTGACCGAAGAAAAGCTCAATGGTATCTGGACAAAGGCATTGGAGGTGTGAAATTCAGCTGTCATAGTTTAATTAGCTGCAGCACATGGGTACTGCCAGGAGTGGGAGTGGGATGAGGAAGGGGGTAGATAAGGAAGACAAACAGACTGGGTGGTCATGCCTCAGAAATAATCTTCTGCCAGCACACAGAAGGATGCTTCTTCCTTGGGGGTGGAAAGGGGCAGGACAAAACTGACACTATTTCTTTTTTCTAAGAGCTGGTGAGTGAAGAGCCTTTTGTGGTCAAGCTACAGTTTGAACCTGCAGGAAGACCTGAATCCCCAGGAGACTATTACTTGATGGTTAAAGAGAACCTGTGTGTCGTGTGTGGCAAGACAGACTCTTATATTCGGTGAGTGTGGCATTGGGCTGCCCTGGTTGTCTGTCTCAGATGGAGATTTTTACATGCAGAGCCCTCGGAGGCTTTGGTTGAGTTTGCTGGCTTTGTCTGAGAGGCTTGGCCCAGCTTCCCCAAGAGCTTCATTCTGCCTGGCCTTCTCTAGTGGCCCCTATCTCTCCTGAGCCAGTTCTTAATTTCTGGAATTCAGCATTATCCTCAGTAACAGTCTGCCATGGAAAAAGTGGTTCCCTTTGGCTCATGAAGGTCTGAAGACCACTTCCTTTAGTGGAAGCTCTGTCCTTTTAGTTCTACCTTGAGGCTCTCAAGCTTTCTGAACATTGATATTGTTCATAGAGTTTTTGGCTACCTGAAGGCTGCTCTTTCATGCCAGGGTCTCCACACAGTGAAGGTGAGGCTGCTCCCTTGGGTTTTCTCCATGGCTTTTGTGCAATAATTTTCTTTCTTTCTTTCTCCCTCTCAAAGACAAATAGTTCTTCTTAGAAAAATAATGATGAGTCATGATGAACCCAGGAAAATAACAAGAGCAAGGAATTCCTCAGATGAAGGAAATTGGCTTGCTTGGGTCACCAGGCTTCTTTGAGAGAGTTGCTTTCCAGAGTTCAAAGGCCATTAGCATATCTTTTCATTTCTTTGTGACTTTTTCTTCTGGGGGCACAGCCTTCTCAAAGGTTGTTATTAACTTCTCTTTGCCCTTAGTCCTCCACTGAAGCCTGACAGTACGTGTTCTGTACTTACTTCAAGGAGAGGAACCTGAATCACAGGTGGATAGGTAGGAACCTAAGGCACAGGTCAGGTTGAGAGTAGAATAAGTAGTTTTGCCTTCATGTTATCTCTCTGGGATCACAGTGCCCAAAGCTTCTCAGAAATATTTGAGTCCTGGTTAGACTCCCAGTTGCCCACCTGCTAGCTTCACATGTTCTCTGTGTCATATGCTAATTAGCACTGCTCTCTGCGTGGGTTTGGTCCAGGAAGAACGTGATTCCACATGAGTACCGGAAACACTTCCCAATTGAGATGAAGGATCACAACTCCCATGATGTGCTCCTGCTCTGCACTTCCTGCCACGCCATTTCCAACTACTATGATAACCATCTGAAGCAGCAGCTGGCCAAAGAGTTCCAGGCCCCCATTGGCTCTGAGGAGGGCTTGCGCCTGCTGGAGGATCCTGAGCGCAGGCAGGTGCGTTCTGGGGCCAGAGCCCTGCTCACGGCGGAGAGCCTGCCTGCTCATCGAAAGGAGGAGCTTCTGCAGGCACTCAGGGAGTTTTATGACACTGACACCATCACAGATGACATGCTTCAAGAGGCTGCCAGCCTGGAAACCAGGTACGACTAACAGTGCTCGTCAGAAAAGGAATTGGGGAGTAACAGTGATGTTAATCCTCACTACTTGTGAGAATGCTTGTCAGGGAGTTAGCATGAGCCTCTAGATGCAGAGCCTAGCCTCATGCGTAGCCCAGGATGTGTCTAGTGGTTTGAGGTAGCATGGGGGTGGAGTAGAACAGCCTATTTGAGAGTTTCCTTTCAATAGAAATTTGTCTTTCATGAAGTGTTTATCCTTAAGGTCACATGCTTAATTAAGTTCAGCCATTTTGATTGGCATGATAGTTCAGATGCTGTGGAATTCTGTCTTAGTCATTCTGTGCAAAGATAAAATCAGCACAAATCATGAAAGTAACTGTCCAGTAATACTCTGGCATCTCTCTAAAGTTTCCCATCAAGTAGAGTATGTATGGTTTTATGTCTTTGGCCCCATATACAGGTTTGTGAAAACTTTGACCAATAGATTCACATTTCCATTCCCACCTGCACACGGATATTGGTCCACTGAATGGAATGTTGGACAGAATTACTGGGCTATATAAATTACTTTTCTCTTTTTTCCTTCCTTTTTTGCTTTCTCCCTCCTTCCCTCTGAGTACATAGTTGAATTTGCATGACATAACTCACTTCCCAAATGAAAAGTTTATGATCCTGAAAAATGAGTGGGTGCATGGCTCTGGTGATAACTCTGGGCTGCAGTGCATAATGTTGCTTCTCAGCTGTCACTATTTTCAATAATAGTAGAGTTCTGTAAAACCCAGATAGCAATGCTGGTTGCCAATAGTAGTTTTTGTTTATCAAGAAAAGATAAAGAAATGAAAACTTTATAAAGCAGCAAATATTTATTTTATTATTTATTCAAAACCTAAAGTATTTTACTAATGCTACTGATCTGTCACATATATTGCAAATATTTACTGAATACATGAGGCACCAAGCTAATAAATTTTACATAAATTGCCTTAATTATTTCTTATAATAAGCTGATAGGTAGGATTTAGATTTCTTACTGATAACTGCTAATATTATCTTGCATTAAAATTTTTTTAAAAATTAAATTTATTATTGAATTTTATCCATATAACTATTCTGTGTAGTTCTAAATGTTATTTTCTAAATTTCATATTAAATATTCTGAGGTTAAAGTTAAGCAACTTGCCAAGGTCTTATTACAAAGTAGTGAGACTGGCTTCTTTGACTAATTCCCAAATGAGATTCCTAAAACAGCTAAACATCCCCTTTAAATCACAGACCCTTCTATGCATTTTTCTGAATTATATAGATGGATGCTGGATTGAGACTGAGGAGAACAGCTATTTGGAGTCAGATAGGCAAGTTAGGGGGAAACTTATGAGCTAAATAATAAAATATATGCAAATACTCAGAGTCACTAACATGGCTAGACTGATTGGGGTCTTGGAGGGCAGCTTGAGAGTAGAGTGTGGTGTAGAGGGAGTAAAGAGGCTATGGGGGCAGGGTGCTTCCTTGAGAAAGGACACCTGTATTCATAGGAACGAAAATTTTGTGACATGTCAGAGTAGTTTTCAAGGCCTCCTTGCCTGGTTAGGAAGGTGGCAGAGGGTCATCTTCCCCTTCAAATAACACCATTTGCACAGCTGAGCAACCACTGGAGCATTTATTTCATTGTGACTGAAGCACTTCTTGTCCATGTGGTCTGGCGTGTACTTTACCTCGGAGCCACATCCTCATCCCAAATTCTGGCATTCTGTGGGAAAGAAGGCACTAAAGAAGTGTACCACCCTGCGTTTTATATTCAGGTATTGCAGTGTTATGAAAAACTGGACCTGTAGGCTGATTAGCAGCCTCATATTAATATTGGGTATGGCTCAGAATAGTGGATAACTTATAGGAGGGTTGAGCTGATCTCTGAGTAACATTGAAATAAATAAAAGACCAATAGTCTCCTGAAAAAAGTATAGCTCAGAACCCCTGAATACTTTTTGTTGGATTTTGAACCATAGTTCAAACTATTTTAAAGGCAAAGATGATAAAGAGGATGTTTTCTAAACATTAAAGTAACCAGACCCTTAGGACTCTAACTAGCTCCCAAACCACTGGCCTGCAGCATTTGAAGCTATCAGTGAGATTGTCCTGTGCTTGTTTCCTTCAGACCCTTTGCGTTTCATGTTTTGGCAGGATTTCCAATGAAAACTACGTTCCTCACGGGCTGAAGGTGGTGCAGTGTCACATCCAGGGTGGGCTGCGATCCCTCATGCAGCTGGAGAGCCGCTGGCGCCAGCACTTCCTGGACTCCATGCAGCCCAAGCACCTGCCCCAGCAGTGGTCAGTGGACCACAACCATCAGAAGCTGCTCCGCAAATTCGGGGAGGATCTTCCCATCAAACTGTCATGATAGCTGCTTCCCGTCCAGGTCAGGACAGCTGGGAAGCTGGAGCCAAGGTGGAAAAGTCATCTGTTCTTGTTTTAAGACATATTTAATTGTCAATGCCTGGATGGCAACTCAGAACACTAACTTGTACTAAACCCGGGTGCTTCTGATGGAGCAAGGCTGTTGTTTGAAGGGGGAGCTGGTGGTTTTGAATTTTAATTGAGCAGAGACAGTATTTTTTTGTTTGTTTTTCCATCATCATCTTTTACTTTTGTGGACCAGAGAGGTTTGACTTCTATTTTTATTCTCCCTCTTCTGATTTCACTGTAAAGAGACAAAATGAAGACTTCTCCCTGAAGTGACTCATTAAGGCTTTCAGAAAATGTTTGTAGTATGTTTCTTCCCTGTCCACCATGCTAATTACCTCTAGCAGGGACTGTCCAGGGTGTCAGTCCTGTCAGGTTAGGAGGGAGAAAAACTTTTTTCAGAGGCTGGAGAAATAACCAAGGAGTCAGATTCATTTTCCCTCTTCAACTTCATAAGTCCAGTTTCTTCTGCTCTCCCATAATTTATCTGGTTGGAATCCATCCCATCTGTGTTGCTTTGGTTTATTTCACATACTGGAAAATGCTTCCCTTTACACATCTGTGTCCAAAGCAGCAGCTTCCTGTCATGTACTTCCACCCTAACACTGAGGGAGCCCTTTTCTGTAAATAGGCCTTCAGCCTGGGTGGGACAGAGAGAAGCAGACACACACTCTTCCAGGAGACTTTGGAACTTTGTTTAGCTTTTCCTCATGCTCTTTGTGCCTGCTCACTGCACTCCCCTTGCCCAGGGCTGGAAGGTTTTTAGTTTAATCTCTTTCTGAAGAGGAGATTACCTTTGCTCAAAATCAGTGTCAGCTCCTTCAGTGTTCCATGTTCCATCAGATTGGCGATACTGACCCATTTTCAGCACTTAGTTCACTTTTAGAGTCATTCGGTCAGTTTCCAGTGTGAGGATTTCTCCGTCTCCTCTGAAGCCCAGGACACCAAGATGAATTAATATATTAGATGTTCAAAAGGGTGATGTTTCATCTTTCATAAAGATAGGCTATACTTTGAGTATGAAATCAGTTTATTAGTGATTCGTGTTTTTTCTAAACTTTTGGGAAAACTTTCGTATTCTACAAGATCTTAATAAGTTTGAAAAGAATTTTATGGCCAGAATCCAACAAAAGCTGTAATTTGGATTTGTGCCCAAGTTGGTGATAATTGATCTGACATTGATGAATAAAACTGCTAAGCACAAGGTTCACTGATTGTAAATGTGAAATTTTTCTTAAGAAAGTCAGTAAGTATTCTTGGGGGAGGAGATATTTACCCTATGGTCCCTGCCTTGTGACAGTACCAGGATACATGTGCATGGATATGCGACACACATGTACCCAGGCTGTCGGGCTGTGTCTGAAGCCTAGATCTGTGTACACATCCTGTGTTCTGTTCCTCTGCCTCTTCATTACCACTTGTCCTCCAACAGGCATTCCTGGGATGTAAACTAGAAATCCTTGAAAACAAATAGTACCAGCCACTTTGGAGAATGTATGGTCAATGTAGTAGATTAGCACAGGGCCTGTGTCTCCTGGTTGTGGATCCCAAGGTTAGAAGAGAGCCAGGGAGATGATGGGGACAACAGGTAGATATTTGGTCATGGTGGTACTTAGGCTTGCCACAAGGTGGCACTCATAGATTGGTTTTTGTATTCATTCCTGAGACTAAGCAACTTCATTCATGGTTACTAAACATAACTCACGACCTGTGTTTCACAGTTTGCAGAGTTGATTTTGAGTCATTTTGGTAGCTTTGTAAGAAAAACATTTTTATTTCCCTGAAATAAGAGAATAGGATTCTCTCTTTTCTTCTGATCCTCATATGAAAAGGTGAGAAACACTTAGGAGGACTGTTCTGGTGCCCTGTGTGCTGTGGGAAGAGGGAGTGGCTTCTCTCTGGAACTCTGTGCAGGGTCCAGTAACAGAGCCAGTGGCAAGGAAGCTAGACCAGAAAAGGGTTTCATAGTAGATGTGAATCTTTTTATTCTGCCTTGAATTCTAGCAGCCTTTCCCTAAGGGTAATATTTACCATCTTAAATGAGAGATTTTAGGGTAGATATTTTTTTAAAATAAATATTTATTTTTTTGCCTGATATAAAAGTAATATATACTTATTAGAGAAGAGTCTTAAGTGAAAGAATAAAAATCATCCATCTTCTAGAACAGAGAACATCTTTCATCTAGAACAGAGCTAAACTTTACTGATACATTTATGGATTTTCTTTCAGTACTTAAAAATGCATATAATATGTGTATAATATTTAAACAAAATTGAGGGTTACATATACACACAAGTTGGTATTCTAATTTTCCTCCCTCATTGGCATGGTATCAAAAGTAGTTTATGTGTCTTTGAAAGTAAATTCTTAGTAGTTTTACCTTCTTTTAGCTATTCATTCTTTGTTGATCCTTCATTGTCATTTTTTTTAATGTTTTTTAGTTGTAGAGGGACATATAATATATTTGTTTGTTAATTTAGTTTTTATGTGGTGCTGAGGGTCGAACCAGTGCCTCACACATGCAAAGCAAGTACTCTACCACTAAGCCTCATCCCCTGCCCCCATTGTCATTATTACCAATGATGTTGTGGTGAACTTTCTTGTGTATAGCTCTTTGACTCTATCCTTTGGAATTTCTTGAGGATAGAATCCTAGAAATGATTGTGAAGTGGGGGACTCTCATTGCCCCAGTGAGTACAAACTGATACCTTTAGAATTACATGTTGAGGAAATGTGTCTCTTTGACCCTTTAGCTCCAAGTATCCCAGTACATTGACTGAGCTTTCACATGAGTGGCCTCTGTCAGCCCCTTTAATTTACTAAGCTCAAATTTCTCATTCTTATCTATGATTTAATAGATACCTCTGTGGCCTGGGAATCCCGACTCTTCCCTGCATGTTACCGCTTGAGAAGGTGAGCTTTGGGAAGCAGAAATGGTAGGACAGTGCCATAGCAAGAGTCTCTAAATGTCCTGGGTAGTTAGGTTGGTGGGCTCTGAGTGTCTTTCTGCTCTTTGCTTTCTCCCACTCTTTTTTTTTTTAAGATAGATAGAGAGAGAGAGAATTTTTTTAGTATTTATTTTTTAGTTTTCGGCGGACACAACATCTTTGTATGTGGTGCTAAGGATGGAACCCGGGCCGCACGTATGCCAGGCGAGCGCGCTACCGCTTGAGCCACATCCCCAGCCCCTGCTTTCTCCCACTCTTCATTGCTATGTTTCTTCCTCTGTAGTCAGTATTTTTTGGGAACAGTTTATTTTAAAATAAAAATATTAAAAAATTTAATTAAAAATAATTTTTTCTTTAAAAAAAGGTTACAGACAGATTATTATTATTTTTTTAAAAAGATAATAAGCACTTAGTGATTTGCCATCCTGAAGTGAATGAGGACATATTCAGGGATTTGCTTCCACTTAAGAGTGCAGCCATAAGTTACTTATTCTTATCCATGTCACGGATTGATCAGATGACAAAATGTGTTCCTTTGAAAGAAAGCCATTTTAATCCTTCATTTTTGACTCCTAGAAATTCAGCAGGCAGAAAGAGCTTTGGTTCAGCTTATTCTGCCTGTTATTTTGAGTCCCAATATTTAAATTAAGTTAAATTCTTAAATTCTTAGTTTACCTTACATCTCTTGTGTTTTTCATTCATTCCTTTATCTTTTCCTTTTTTTCTTCATTATGTCTCATTCTTATGAGAGGTGTTTTCTAAAGAATGTTTGCTAGTTTATTAATTATCTTGTATTACTAATTATGATATATTTGAAATGAAAATTTTTTGGACTTTTTTTTTAATAGGAAGGTCATTTTGAGAGTTTTCTAATCCCCTCAGAAATATAGTGAGAACCAGTTTTTCTTAGTACAGTGAACTAAAAGAGGGTGTAATGATTCATAATATGATTAACTCTTGATCTGAATAACATAAAAATAATACATAATCCCCCATATACATTTATTTTGGAACCCAGACATACTTTTCAGGCATTCACCAAGTTGCCCTTGTTCTAGAGCCTGGCACCTTCTTCCTGGAGCAGTTCCCCTAGTTGATGGAACAGGGCTGGCATGCAGCCAATGACACACAAGTTCTAGAGTACCCATTCTTTTTTTTTTTTTTTAGGCGTTGATAGACCTTTATTTTATTCATTTATTTATATGCGGTTCTGAGAATCAAATTCAGTGCTTCACACATGCTACTCGAGTGCTCTACCACTGAGCCACAACCCCAACCCCTAAAGTACCTATTCTATCAGCCCACTGGGGATGCTTGAGGCACCAAAGCACTGGCTTAAGTGCCAATATATTGTTTGGAAGGTGGAAAGTACCATTAGATCATGTTTTTTTTCTAGTCAGTTTTGCCTATGACCAACTCTGGTTGGAGGCCCCTGGACACTGGGTAACCAGACCAAATGGGTTATCATTTGGGAGATAATCAAGAGCTGACTTCCTTCACACAGGAAGGGGGAATGTCAGAGAACCTGATTCACGCATCCTTGGTTGTGCCCTCTTCTCCTATGGTACACATTGCCTTCCAAGTCATTCTCTGCTTTCACTGAGTGGAAATGGTTCATCTCATCCTCCAGATTGAGCCCAAAGCATGTGCCCTCCTTCCAGTTTCCTTATTTGTTACTAGTTCTTGAATTTTTCTCTCTTGGTGGATGGGTCATCTGTTGCCTCTCTGGCACCATTACCTTCAAAAGCTGCTGAGTTTAGAGTGAGCATTATTATAAGCAAAATGTGTGATCCAGAATATTCCTGAGTTGGAATAGCTATTTATATTGTACTTCTGCTTCCCAGAGCTCACCCTTCTCAAGTGGTAACATGCTGGGAAAAGTTGGGATTCCCAGGCCAGAGGGTATCTATTAAATCATGGATAAGAATGAGAAATTTGAGTTTAGTAAATTAAAGGGGCTGATAGAAATGGGAGATTGAAACATAGGTAGTTTTAAAGGAGATGCGTTTATTTGACTGATGCAGGGAGCCTTGTTCATGGACTTTATATATTTTGTGGTGTTTTCCCCCCTAAACCCAGTTCATCATGTTAGCGATTCAGAGAAAAGTGTGCTGATGACTTGGGTTCTGCTGCCATTAGCCTGCTGTGTTATCTTTGGACAAGTCACTTAACTTTTCTGGGCTTCTTTCTGTACCTGTAAATTTAGAGATTTGGATGAGATGTTCCAGAAGAGCCCTTTGAGCTAGAGCATTCTGGGACACATCCCCCCATTGCTTTATGTGGCCTTTCCCTTGGGTGCTGTGTATCTTCTGCTTTGTTGCACACTCTTACCCTGCCCAGCCCTGGAATGGAAACTAGAAGGAAAGCAAAGGAATAAGGGAAGCAGGATGCCACCCCATGTCCTCCTGGCCTCATTAACTAGGGAGAAACCCCCTCTCCCTCTGTCACTCTACACGGGGTCAAAATGCCCTTCTCACCAGAAATGTGCTGTGTGTGGCCCTCGGGTTCTCAAGTTTCTACTCAGTCTGCTATTTAACCTCAGACAAGAGGGACATCTTTATCTATAGCCGCAAGGCCAGTGGTGTGAGGCTGATTAAGCGATCAGTGTGGAGTGTGCCCAAGTGTTTAGAGGGAGGTTGATGAGAGGGGAAACAAAGACTTTCAGTTTAATGATAAGAGAAATTATGTGTCATAGAGAATTGAATAGAATTGGGAGCTTTAAAAGGAAAACATGAGAAGTCGAGTAGCGTCTGCCATGTTAATTCCTTGTTATCCATCCAGGAACCGTAGATGAGATTAATGCATAGGAGGCCTGTGTCTTGGGTCAGCTGGCTTGCCCTGGACTTTGTTCTGCTCATCTTTGCCTTTGTCTGGGCATCAACTAGACAGACGTGTGCAAAATGTAAAGTTTGCGTTTTACAAGCTGCAGAATGGACTTTCTATATACACATGCATTTCCTAGGACCTGGCAGAGAATACTTTTCGAGATAAGGTGGGTGTTACCATATGACCAATCTGTCCTTAAGCCCCTGATTCTCCCTGAGTAGCTGGGTTACAGGCACATGCCACTGTGCCTGGCAGAAAGTGCATTTTCTGGATCATCCTTGTGCTTAGTTTCAGCCCAAGGGAACTTGTTGGTTTTTCTTTGTGTAACACAGATTTGTACTGAGCATGCTCCACCTGAAGCTCTTTTCTGTTATCTAGATAGACATGGATGTGAGCGAGCCCTGGTTTCTACCAAATTGGGATCTTTTTTTGCAA